GAGAGAGAGAGAGAGAGAGAGAGAGAGAGAGAGAGAGAGAGAGAGAGAGAGAGAGAGCCGGGGCCCCCCTCACACGTCAGCACCGATACTTCCTCATTTGGCCTCTTAAACACTTTGACATTATCAGGCCACGCAGAGCAATGTCCCCCCTCATTATTCTCACCTTTGGTACCGCAGCGAAATGTGCAAAGAGGAGCAGGAGGAAGAGGACACCGGCAGAAATACGGGAAGGGACATCATGAGATCATGTGCGCATGTCTGAAATGTCTGGATGGTCATTTGATGGGCAGATGTTCCGTCCATGTCAAGACACGTAACACTAGCGATGATCAAATACAGCAATGTTACAGTTTGGACAATACAGAGCTGTGTAAACACCACTTGATTGTAAAATTTAAATAAAATAAAAAAGAAGCTACTGGCAAAGCACACTAGTTTAAGATTAAAAAATGCGAGATAATAGGAAAGTTGATTTATTACTTTCCTTAAGTGCATAAATATAATAAAAAATAAAGTGATTTAAATATATTCGTGACACAAAGTAGTTCTTTAAGCAGATATTTTATTGAGTCAATAGTACAGTACTAAATACTTTCTAATCCCAAAACAATGATGACATACTGCCATCTAGTGGCTCAAACACAGAGGTTCAGATGGTGTATCAAAAATGAAAATAAAAAAGGAACCCGGATGGTTGCAAATATTAACATTTTATGTTTAAGATCATTTTACACTAAGAATGTGAGTGAAACAGCTTCAGAGAGATCAGAGTAGCAATAACTTCGTAGATGTTGGTCCATTCTATGAAAATAATGGGTTTGTATAAAGTTACAAATGCGAGAGATGTGAAATGTAACAAATGCTTATAAACATAACCAAAAAAAAGATGGAGCTCATCGGGTATAAGGATGCATTGAACCGGATGCAGATTTGATGTTTGTCTTGATGCTGCTTGGCATTTTTCCTGAGAAAGAGAACAACAGGGAGAAAATGAATGCTTTTGCTGCAATGTCCAGCATTTCCATCCGTGTAATCGGAAATCTTAAGAGTTCAGCAAACGTCAAGGGTGAAAATAAAAAGTCCCTTTGAAATATTAGGCTCATTCGAGATGATTTCTGTCTCGTCTGGAAGAGGATGAGATTCACAAAGAAGTCATAAAGTTTCCAGCAGCATCATCTGACTGAATAGAATATTATGTGTTAGATCTGTTTGTTCCACTTTTACTGTCCAATAACTGCTGTTTTAGATGATCTTGTGTGTGGAAGGGTATCAAAATATGGTGTAATCAAATATATAAACACTGTATTTATTATATTACTGTAATCAAATTCAAAGTAAAGACCCAAACCACCTAAAACCCATCCACATCCTAAGTACAAATATTCTCAAAATTAGACACTGGCAAAGGGATATGAAGAGCAGCAAGGGCTTAAAGGGATAGTTCGATGTTTTGAAGTGGGGTTGTACGAGATCCTAATCCATAGTCAGTGTTTTACCAACAGTATATGGCGGTCGGCACGCCCCCAGTTTTGAGAAACAGACAGGAACACCAGCACGGGAGCAAAGTTATGTTACAAAGTAATGTTACTGCTGTGGCTTCTCCAAACTGGGGGCGTGCTGACCGTCGTCTACCGTAGGCAATACACTGACTATGGAAAAGTACAACCGAACTATCCCTTTAACATCAGTACAAATTCATTGTAAGAACACTAACAGCAAACAACCAAAAGTAGTCGTGGTGCAATACTAACCCGGCTCTCCAGGTCTCCTACCTGGCTGCCCTTGCTGCTGTGGAGCCACAGGTCCTCCCATACCTGCTTGCTGGCTTGAACCACCACCAATGGTGACCTGCTGTAAGGTTGGACCTCCACCCATCATGGGCCCTTGTCCCGGATGTCCAGGGGCCACTGGACCAGGAGGCCTACATTTGGAAAGCCCCTTTCCAAATGCAACTGCTCCCACCAACGCGCTAGTGTCAGCAGGGTTGAACGATGGTTTGTTCTGTCGTATTGCTGTAGGGAGAAAAAAAAAAACGCACAGGAGTCAAAAATATTTAAATATATTAATACATATTAGATGAGTTTCCTGGACAGTGAAAGTGCAACATACCTGCACTCTCTGCATCTCTGTCATCACGAGGATTGTTCAGCTTCTCCAGCAGATTGGAACAAAGTTTATTCAACGTCTGGATCTGTTTCTGTTGATGAAAAAAATAACCAGGGGGCGTTTGAACCATGCAAAAATACTCTACAGCTGTAAGCAAATGCAAGGCAAATGACTGTTCTACATTTTAGCAGCGTATGAGTAAGACAGCATCGATCCACTCGTCTGATAACTAACTGACCTGTGCCACCTCTGGGCCAATTCGCGCCGCCTCTACACTCAGCTGTTTCTCCTGCTCCTCCACCTCTGGATCAGGCTTGGTCCGCAAGTAGTCCGGTACAATCTCATGGCTGAACACTGGGACGCGCTGCTCTGTGAGTTTCTGTTGGGAAGGGGGGCAAGCAGGGTGCCGTGAATGTCAGAGAGATTGCTAAAAAAAACTAAAAAAAAACACATCAGAGAAGTAGAAACGTCCGTCCGTGGCTTTGGTACTCACTGCTAAGTCCTCATCTCGGTCCGGGGACAGAAGCAGCGGTATTATAACCTGGTTGCGAAAGGACGGAGTCTTCTCGTTCTTCAGCAGTTTATTGATGGTGTTCAGCTGACCGGATATCAGCGCAAAGTTGTCCAAAACAGAGGGCCTGAATGACACAAACACAAATCACAACATCTGAGAAGGGAAGAAGAAAACACTCTGCAAAAGGACATATTTAAGTTTGTGCATTTTGATGACAAAACAGAGCATCTTGTGTCAAACATACGTATAAAGTCGTTTCACCTTTTTAGCATTAACGCAGTAGAAAATCTCATCAACTGACAGGGTAATGTTAGAGCTAACATATTTATTCAAGGATGAAGTTGGATAGTTTGTAAACCTGTTAAATGGTGTGGATTACTGCGTTTACCTACCCTCCATCAAACAGAGGGATACAACTATAGTTTAAAAACATTAAACACTTCAATATCATATGGAGAATCCACAATACAACAACATTTAAATATTGTTTCTTTCATATACACAATTAAGTCTTAACTTGAGAACTTGACCGCAGACACAAAGTAAAGATCTTTGGGGGGAATGCTTTTACTCACCATGTTAATCGCTCGTATTCATTTTCCAATTTATAAATGAAGCTGTGAAGAGCGTTTTTGACGTGCGCTACACGAGAAACGAGAGACTCCACCGCCGCCTCCAACTGCTTCTCCTCTCGTTGCTGAGGGAAAGAAAAGAGAAATGCTCTACTGGTGAACAAAAAGTTGTTTTATTTTATCATCATTGTACAACGAAATGTGGATTGTAGTCCCATTTTGCTACACAAGAAAAACACATGTAAAATACGTTATATATGGAGGGAGGAGGATGAGTTTAGGATGAGTTGAGGAGTCTCAGCCAGAGGAAAGAAGCTGTTATGAAGTCTGGTGGTACGGCAGCTGATACTTAACTGAACACACAAAACAATCCGAACAACAGTCTGCGTTCATCAAATTAATGTCAGTTTAACTTCACATTCAGGTAGACTTCATTGTGATGTTAACGTAGTTTAAACGCGAATTAACCTACGTTAGCTGTTACCTATTAGCAAGCTAGCTATTGCTAGCTCTAAAAATAAGTAAACTAAAAGCACCATATCCAAACATATACAGGGTGAACTGCAATGAAAGGACCAGTGAATAGTGTAACAAAGTACCATACCCTAAATGACAATATATGGGCATTAAAATAGCATTACCTGCATTGTTGAACTACAAGCTAACAGTAAAATACTCTCAATTAGTCAATGCAGAAACACTTCCGGGTAACCGTGTCAAAATAAAAGCACGTATTTTGAACACTGCATTTTCACTACACGGAAATACCCAAAACACAAAAACTAGTGGTGGAATGCAACTCTTGGTAAAATTCTTGAATTATCTATTATCACTGTGTGGCTAATTTTACTTAAGCAAAGCAAAAATCTAAATACTTCTTCCACCACTGAGGAAATGCATTCCAAACATAAAATGATGTATATGAAATTACACCTATAAACCTTTGCTGACAGCACTAACGATATAAAGCTTGAACAAATATGGCAATAAAACTGCAACACAGGCTGTACCATTTCTCGGCCATGTTATTAACGGGCAATAACTGCTTGATGAGGGTACTAAACAATACATACCCAATATTGACTGACCAGGGTATGGTACGTCTGCCTCATCAGCATCAGTTATAATGTAACAGGTAAAATGCACATCTGGAAGTTGGACATGTGGTATATATATGTATATAATGTATTTTTTTGTTTTAGGGTTACATTATACAGTGACAGGTAACACCATTTGAAGTCAACTTCTGTGTCTTATCAAAATGTGAATTCAACAGGACATTGTCCGTCACTTTAATGACTTTAGTTTAAATTTCCATCACTGTCATTTAAAGCCTTATTGATGTGTTTGAATATATTTTGAAATAAAAACCTAATTTAATCACATTTGCTCCATTCTTCCATTAATGTTTGTGTTGCAAGAACATTCTTCCCATTTAGTATTGATATTACTAAAAGGCATTTATACACACTAGAATAAAATATAGAATATATACTATAAAATTATTATTAAGGGTTAAGCGATGGTGTTGATACCAGCAAAGGACACGCAGTAGTTTAGACAAGTAGTACATTTTTCTCACCCTTTATTTTAAATAAAAGTTCCATTTACAGCAAATGTACAAATGTGGTAATACAACAACAGAAAGATTAGCTAAATAAATTGTAATGAGCAAAATACACATTTAGATAGGCTTGATCTTGAAGTGGAGGCCGATGAGACTGAATACAATACATTTCAGATCTTGCACCAGGTAATAGAACACGCGGAGACCTTCAGGATCCCTGAAACGCGGTGCAATTTTAAAAGTTAATACAAGTGACAACGGTATTAACAGTGGAGTAATCATTCAAAGCTATAAAATGCATCTGAGTGAAGTGTACGATTATTGGTTCAATTGACAACTCTCTTGTTGTGGTGTTTATGTTGCAGATGGGGTTGAGTTTTTTTAAATTTTGGGGATAGAAAGAAGAAAAATAAATATATACATGTAAATAAATAAACCTGGGCAATTTGGAGTATGTTAGCAAAGTTAATTACTGGCGGTTTCATATGCATTTACCTTGGTATGTGCTTGCATCATAGACTAGGCACATTTATTTTCTTCCTCTGTGAACTCCACTTAAAAAGTATTTTGTTTTTCTCCTCGTCTTATTTTACAGCAATACACTTTTGTTTTCTTTCACTATGTTATAGTGATTAAGTATTTTTGCCAATGTCTATTGTCTTTAGAGCGGGTGTTTTATTTTTTTCAATACGCATTTCTTGCATACTGTCATTCTACTGCCTTGACTAATATTTTTGAAATATTTTTACTTTCGGGTCACCTGTCTTGCTTTGCGTCTCTTTTCCAAATAAAAAAAAACAAAAGAAGGATTTGCAAAATACAAAATCGGCTCGTTATTTCAGTTTTTGTTTTTTGGTTTAAAACAGAAAACGAAAAAAACATGGTATTTATGTATTTTCGTTTTTTCGAATAAACGATTAACACGTATTTCCTTAGCCGCCCTTACCAAAAATCTGCTAGTATTTAGCCGAGCCTAGAACGTAAACAAGACACACGTGTATTCCATCTGGTGCATTCAGGGCCAGCGGTAAGGAACGGATAGCCCGGTGTCACAGAATTGTTACAGGCTACCATAACGTTGAGAATTGAGTTTGAAATTTCCGATCATTGAGTTTTCTGCTTCGAGTCATAATCGTTCATGAGAGAATCGTGATGCATCTAAGAATCGATTTTTTCCCCCATCCCGACTGGATAGTAGATAAACTTCTTAGAGTCTTCTTTACATGGCTGTTGGTCTCCAGAGAATGAAGAATAGGGTGTAGGATTGTTAACGCAGCCAACAGGCTGGCTCCTCCCCCAACCAATTCCCTAATCAGTGCCAGCATACATAAAGCATACACCTATGCAGGCCTGATTGAGTCACAATTGTTGAGGTTTCACAGAATCTGCACTGAACAGGAGGATTTTAATTCGGCAGTCAGAGTGTTGTTTCCAGCTTTGACCAGCAGAGGATACTCTAGGACTTTTCTTAGAAAATGCAGGTCATTTCAGCAAACTAAACCTACAGTAGTAACTTGTAACCTTCCATTTGTGACTACATTTTCCTCGTCAACTGTTGAACTGATCAGAGAAAGTAGGAGGAACTTTCACAAACACATTACAGGAACCTCAACATTACAAAACTATAGCATTATTGCTTCATTCAGGAAAAACAAGAATTTACAGGATCTCCTGGTAAAAGCTAAGATTAAACCCCTTTCTGATTCTAAACCCAGAGTACAGGGCGAGTACTTTAAACACCAAAACTGGTTCACTAATCGGTACACAAAAGAGGTCTTTCAGACAATGACCCGTGGCAGTCTAAAGTCAAAAAAATTGTATATATCTGATTTCATGTAAAAAGTGTGGTTTACAGTATGTGGGTGAAATGGGCAACACCATTTCTATTCGATTCCCTCAACATAAATATAATATACTGAACAGGAAAAAGATGGAGACACCCTTTATGAAACACTTCCTACTACGTGGATGGAAATCTGTTTTAACTACTGTCATTGAGTGTAACCCCAGGTGGAACATTTCCCAGAGGAAAAGGACTGAAAGGATCTGGTTTGCCAGACTGGATACGAGACATCCTAAAGGCTTGAATGAGAGGTAAGTGCTTCAGGATGTGAGGTAGTGATGGACAGCGCACAGATCACCTTGCTGGCTCCCAGCGAAGGGATCACAATCCCCTAACACCTAACCCTAACCCTAAAGCCAATAAACACACTGTTTAATACATTCCTCACATCTTCAGTGTTGTGTTAAAGGCTAGAATTTTTTTCTTTAAAGACACGATCGATCTGCATAGTTACAGTTGCTATGCTGTGATTGGTCAATCACTGGTCGGTGGAGGGGTTTAGCGAACAGTTAGTCGATTAAAGGACCAATCGTTGCAGCACTGCAGTATTGCCACAACTAATTTGTTTGAATTGCTTGTATGCATGATTATCATGCAATTGGCAGACAATGTTGATATTGGCATTGGTATCAACTGACAAGGTATGTTTATAAAAGGCAGTGGCATGGCACCTTGCACATGTTTAAAATAAAAACATGAATATATGAACCTGTGTATTATTTAAATAGCTTAGTATTGAATGCACAATAAAGAGGTATGCTTATACATGGCACTAGGCCCAGTTTAATATAAAACACAATTTTATACAATATATATAGTCGGGGGTCCCTGCTCCATCTCTCTATCAGTTTGGGGGTCCTTGGCATGAAAAACGTTGAAGACCCCTGCTCTACAGAGTCTTAAGCATGATGGGGAAATATATTAGTTCCTTGGCATAAACACAAAATAAAAGAAACCTTCGTAGGTCGAAGGCTTGATCAATTCTGTATTAAGGGACATTATAGGTGGCGCTCTTGCCCTGCAGGATTCCAACCGGCAATCGATCCCCAAAGCCACCAGGTTAGATGCCCCTACCTGTGTGAGCACCTTCAGGATATGAGCAGCACCAGGCAGAGGGGCAGGTCATGGTGAGGTCGACCCAGGTTTGTCAGCACTGCGCAGGGAATGGCCACCAAGCCCACCAGGATATCCGCCACTGACAATGATACCTTCACAGTAAAACACACTTTTGGTCCTTTAGATATCTGCACGTAGTTTTCCTCAAACCACAGGTTCGTATGTCATGATAAGACATTTTAGATGGGGTCGAAACAGGTTTCCTCACCAGGAAGTAATTGGTGACGGAGTGCGGAGTTTTTTGTTGTGGCTGACAGCCAGACAGACCAGGAAGTTGCCGAAGATGGCCAGCACTGCGATGACGAGCTCGGTGGCGATGTAAAGCCCCCTCATGCGGGGTTGATATCCGTACGGCATCTCTGCCATACAGCTGCCCGGAGTCACGTTCATGACGGGAGAGAGACAGAGACTCCAGTCATAGAAAACCTGGAGATAAGGAAAGAAAACGAAACAAAACTTGAAAAAATAAGCATTTTAACTATTTGTAAAGAAAATCTAATGCAAGAAGAGTACAAATCTCCCACTTCCTTTATATATTATTTTTTTCCATAGTGATTACACAGACTGAGGAGGAGAAGAAAACACATGAATGGAGAGAGGAACAGTGGTTGTTATGAAGTGCAGCATGTGGCCTTTGTACTGACCAACTGACCGGTGAAAGTTGTTCCTGGAAAGGGACAAAAACAATGACACACACACACACTCGCAGACCCAAAGTGTTCACTATTTACACACACTGATAGGGATTCAAACCTGCTGCACGTTGCCGTGCCCACATGTTAATAGATGGATTGTAAATGAACGGCAAGTTTCAAATCAGCCATACGTAACTTATTAGAGACTTTACACAAATGATTGCTGTGCTTATGTTATGGTTATTATAGTTTTGTTTGAATCAGATGTTGCCTACCATCACAGTAGAAGTAATTAGATTATTAGAACATCTGATAACTTGTACTGTCACAGTACAAATTATTAGATTATTAGAACATCTAATAACTTCTACTGTCACAGTACAAGTTATCAGATGTTGCCTACTATCACAGTAGAAGTAATTAGATTATTACATCATCTGTTAACTTCTACTAGCACAGTAGAAGCTATCAGAAAAAAACACCAAAATGTGTCCCAATATCCTGAGCTAGTTGAATCAGAACCTTCGTTCTTTAGTTCTTCCTGTGCTGTGGTACCTGGCCGAAGTTCAGAAAGTGTGTCCTCATGTGGGCAACTGTGGCTAAGTGGATAGCAGGGCCGTCCCCGGCTCTGCTAGTTGCATGTCGATGTGAGCTTAACCCCAAAATTGCTCCCGTAGCTGTGCCTGCATTTGAAAGAGAAAAGGTCATTTATCTTAATCATTGCCCAGCACTAATCGTAATGTACTGAAGCAGTTATATAAAGGTCATTAAATATCTGTATAGATCCAGGTAGAACACATGAGCGGATAAGCCTCTAGTGTTAATTACAGGCTCTTCACTTGGAGTGATAACGGAGAGGGCAGAGTTGACACATGAGGCTGCAACCTCTTTATGGATCAAGTCCTCCTGAACCTCTTCACCTGGTTCTCATTTCTTCCCCTGAGAGGGCTGACTACACATCTGTCCGTCTCCTCTGTCTGTGATGTCTCTGGTCTATCCATGGAGATTGTTTCTGGAACCTCCTTTCCACATCTGAAGAACTTGTAGATGGTGGTGAGCAGTTTGGGTCGTGTCAGGTGATATTCGACACAGGAGGCAATGTAGTTCACAAGTTCTCGTTCCTCTGATTTCATGGACAACTGCACCTTTTTTAAACCGCCAAACTTCTTACACAGTTTCTTGAAAATGGCCTTGTCCAGTTTTTCTAATGTTTTGAGATCAAAATCGACATCCTGGACTTCGATCCACGTTCTTTCAAACAGACGCATAGTGATGGCCGCAAACTCGTGCAGAGCGACGGGTACTACTGCATGGGTACAGTTCTGATTTGGTGTTTTGAAAATCTGCACAACCAGATTCCTCGCGAATGTCTGAACTGACCATTTATTTAGTGCATGTACGTTCAAATATCCTGAGCTAGTTGCATCAGAACCTTCATTCTTTAGTGCTTCCTGTGCTGCATATACATAGAAATATCCTGAGCTAGTTGAATCAGAACATTCATTCTTTAGGTCTTCCTGTGCTGTGGCACCTGGCCAAGGTTCAGAAAGTGCGTCCTCATGTACTGAGCCAGTTATTGAAGGTTTGTTATTGAACCAGAAGGACGGATGAGTGGATGAGCCTTTATCAGTTGAACACTCCCCCTCTGTCTGTAGTTCTTCTTGGGGGGGAGTTGGACTTCTGTGAGGGGGAGTGATGCCCGGATTAATTACAGGCTCTTCACTTGGAGCGATAACGGAGAGGGCAGAGTTGACACATGACGCCGCAACCTCTTTATGGATCAAGTCCTCCCAAACCTCTGAAAAGCTCTGTGTGTCGTCCGGACTGGACTTCACCTGGTTCTCATTTCTTCCCCTGAGAGGGCTGACAGCACATCTGTCCGTCTCCTCTGTCTGTGATGTCTCTGGTGTATCCATGGAGATTGTTTCCCGAACCTCCTTTCCACATCTGAAGAACTGAAGAAATTCGTTATTTAGTTCTTCCTGTGCTGTGGCACCTGGCCGATGTTCAGAAAGTGCGTCCTCATCTTCTGAGTCAGTTAATGAAGATTCGCTGTCGTCCCAGACGACCCAGATAGATTTAAAGAACTGATTCAGCATTTCAAGTTCTTCATTCACAGGATGAATTGGTAATTCTGACTCAGAGCAATGTTTGCTGGGGTGGTGGGTCAAGAGAGAGGTTGAGTCGTTTGAACACTCCTCTGTCATTTCAATGATCTTGATCATTAGATCCTTCATTTTCTCAAGGATAATGTTAATATGTTCAACCTTCCATGCCATGCGTGGTGAGGCAAAATATTTATTGAAAAGATCTCCAAAGATCTCTATTTCAAACTCTGGATCGTTTGGAAAGTGTACATATAACATTGGCCTAAAAGAGAATTCAATTCTTTCTTTCGGCTCTCGATAGGTCTTGTAGTGTTTGTAATCACACTCAAACTTAGCTACTTGACGATCGAGAGATTTAAAGAACTGATTCAGCATTTCAAGTTCTTCATTCGCAGGATGAATTGGTAATTCTGACTCAGAGCAATGTTTGCTGGGGTGGTGGGTCAAGAGAGAGGTCGAGTCGTTTGAACACTCTGTCTGCAGTGGGGATATTTCTAGTCTATCCATGGTTTTTGCCAGATCACACTCAACGGCTGTCGTTTCAATGATCTTGATCATTAGATCCTTCATTTTCTCAAGGATAATGTTAATATGTTCAACCTTCCATGCCATGCGTGGTGAGGCAAAATATTTATTGAAAATATCTCCAAAGATCTCTGTTTCAAAATCTGGATAGTTTGGAAAGTGTACATATAACATTGGCCTAAAAGAGAATTCAATTCTTTCTTTCAGCTCTCGATAGGTCTTGTAGTGTTTGTAATCACACTCAAACTTAGCTACTTGACTCTCCAGAGATTTAAAGAACTCATTCAGCAGTTCTTCATTTCCATGTTTGCTGGGGTGGTGGGTCAAGAGAGAGGTTGATTCGTTTGAAGACTCCTCTCTCTGTAGTTCTTTTTGGGGGGATGTTCCAGAATACATTTGATTTTCTGGGAGATTAGGCCGTTGGGATATGGTCTCCAGTTCGTGGTTCAGTGGGGATATTTCTCGTCTATCCATGGTTTCATTCAAATCTTCAATGCAGTAAAGATTTCACGTATCTGCTCTGTGAGTGTAAAACTGACTTACCCGTTTGAAAGGTCGGCTACTCTGGCTGCAGGGTACTCAATATATCAGGCAATCACGTGACGTCACAAAGAGATCACAGATCACAGGAAGTCACGTGACGTCACAAAAACAGCGAACAGCTGACCGTTCTATTTGAGCCTTTGTTGACGTTACATGGGCTGCAAATTCCTGCTTCACGAGGCTTGACAGGATTCTTCTTCGTGGGTATTTTGCATCTTCTTCTTCTGCTTTTGATTTCCCGGTAGATTGGATGCCGTGAGACACGATGCTGCCCCCTATAGTTCAGTGTTGATGTACTGCAATCCCACCGATGTAAACATGTCAACATGTTGTAAAAATTGAAAAAAAACTTCAGTCTTCAAAAGACTCACGAAGAAGAATCCTGTCAAGCCTCGTGAAGCGGGAATTTGCAGCCCACTATCATGGACTGGTAAATTATATTTGAAACATGAACCGTTAGCTTGTTATTTAGCCCGCTAGTGCTGCTACTTTACTGTGTTAGCTGGTGGCTAACGAAACCGTTCATAATCAATGCTGATGCTAATCAGGCTAAATGCTGATTTGTGTACTGTTGACATGATTTAACCAGCGACAAACACGTGGTTCTCGGTCAGTTATTGGGGATAATATATATGTATGATATGTTATTGATTACACAAAGTTTAAATTAAATTATCACCGCTGAATAAACTAATAACAAACAGCTGTTTATTGTTGTTAGTACAGTTGGTATCACTGTCTCTATCAGTGAGTACTTTCAGCTGTTAATGAATAGTTATTAGTACTTAAGTGCATTTACTATTGTACAATTTTGAGGTACTTGCACTTCCTGTTTTTTCTGCTACTGTATGCTTCTAACGTTTCTCCACTACTGTTCAGAGGGAAATATCGTAGTTTTTTACAGATTATTCATTAAAAAATATAAATTAACAAATACATTATGATGTATTATTATAGTTTAAGATACTCAGCAGTATTCTTTAAAAGTAGCTCCACGTTTAGCTGCAACATTAAAGTGAAGAACACATTATTGCATTAAAATAACTACTTCTTTGGTGAGTCGAGTATCCCAAAATGATTTCAACTAGTCCCTAGCAGGACATTTTCACTAAAACATATTGTTGTCAGAAGTATTTTGCACAGGATGTTCAGATTTGGGTTATTTTGTCAAATAGCACTTGTTAGATTGGATTGATAAACTCTTGTTTCTCTCCTAAACGTGTTTAGGACGTCACCGCTGGGTGATCTTCACCACAGAGATGAACGGAAAGAACACCATGTGGCAGATGGACGGCAGCATGGCTTGAGCTGATGTTACGAGCAGTTTGGTATAGAATCAGTACGACAATGACCATTTGGGCTAAAACTCTATCTACCTTAGATGTATTAAAAATATATATATATATATGCAGTTGTTTGTAGTCTACTGTACTGTCTTAACAAGTAGATTAAACATTATTTACATGTTTTCACCTCCAGAAATGTAACCGTCAACAAAAATCCCCATGATCCCCAAAAATGAATAAAATGAAGGAATTAGCTTGTCATTTAAGCCAGCTACCTTTGTGTTCACTCTTCAGGCATCGCTGGCTGCACTGCATGACAGATGACCCCCCCACCACACATCCACCAGAGCCCAAGAAGTTCCTGGCTGAGGTCCACCAGTTCAACGTGAGTGGCAGCTCACAGAGGTACGTGCCCTTCCCCACCACCAGCAAGAAGATTCACGAGTGGGTTCCACCCAAAGTGAGCTCAGTGAACTCTGACTGTATATTTGTAAATGATGTCCTGAATAAAATCTCTATACAGACATTTATGATGGGAGTGGCAGTTCTTACAATAAACCTTTTAGACAATGGCAGTGTTCCCCACAGGAAGATTTTCTTTATCCGGAAATTACTTTAATGTGAGAAAAACAACTTGGCACACAAACTGTCCTTTTGGAAAAATCTGCCTTTGTCCAGTTGTTTTACCTTTTTTACCTTCAGACACGCTGCTACTGCCTGTGTTCAGAATTATAAGCTTGCATTTGCAAGTTGTTATTTCAACATTTGGTACTTTACTTAAGCAGCTAGCTGGCTATAGAGCTGCACTTGACAATCGTTTCTAACATTGATTAATCCAATGTTTTATTAATGGAGGAAAATCACTATTATCATATCCATCATAATGTATCAGATGTGAAGGTACAATCTTTAGATCCCTGGTTTTGTCCGACAAGCAGTCCAACACTCGGAGAAATTACATTTTCAATCATCTGATGAACAAAAGCATAAAATCCTCACATTTTGACCTCTTAGCTTAGTTTGTCTAAGTGACTACTTATGTTAGTATAGTGCCCCATATATGAGTTGGTTCACCTGCTGCTGTTTTGCTCTGTTTTGCCTTACCGTTTTTATTAATTTACATTGTTCAACCAACTGGGTTTGTTCTATTTGTCTTGAATAGTTTTGTTATTAGTTCCCCTTTTCTTTTGGTTAAGTTCCATTGTTGGGAGGGTAAGCACCCGTGGTGAGGTCCCTACACCTTATGCATGCATGTACAACCACTGATAAGAGTGTCGACTTCATCATTTACGTTTTGAGGATTGCTGTGTTGCACCTGAGGTGAGTACTGGTAGCACCCCTGGGCACTCCTCAGTGTAGTCTGCCTCCTTACCAGTGTCCTCTACCTAAATCCCACGATCTCGCATAGTTTATGTTGGACAGGACCTTTTAGGATAATATAATCTAGTTCTAGATTTTTTTAATAAGGCCTTTGTATCTTAAAGAATTATTTAAGATCCCTTATTGTTTAGAGTTATTTTCATTTTGACCATAATATTCATTTGACCATAATATTCTTTCCTCCCCCGCAGCTGCCGTCCCTGCAAATTTGATTATTTATTTTGGTTCCTTAAATAAAATCTTGAGTTCAATTCTATGAAACACGTCCGTCTAATTTCAGTAACTAATCTGTGTGCCTTAACAATTCTAAAAACAAATATCTTAAGGTTGTTGAGCTTATATTTCCTGGGGTGTGATTCCCCAGGTGGTGTTGTTGGTTCCCTCATTTCCCGCCTAAGACCCCGCCACATTCAGAAAGATATATGCCAAGCAGGTGCAAGGTAAAAACAAAGAAATTCACTCTAAAGTCAGTTCAAACCATGTAGAAATAAAGATTGTGCAGGAGCTGTCGTTCACTGATTTGAGTGCTATATTACAGCAATAGCATTCAATAATTCAGTAGTCACCGTTACAGGCCTCACAGCTTTAAATTAAGGGAATGTTCTCGGTTAATATACAGTATGTGATGTTTCTGTGTGCACACTTTTCCTTAAAGTCCGAGTGAATTGAAAGATTGATTGCTGGAATGATGGCATTGCAAAATCCTATATGTCATGTATGCAGTCTCTTTTTTCAAATGTTTGTGTCCAGGCCTGCAGTGCTCCAAGTGCTCTGATCCGACATGAGATCGGCTATGTCCTGGCTCAGATGCAGCATCCTGTGAGCAGCTTTGGATCGTTCTACTGCAAAACACAGGTCTTGATTTGAATCTTGTATCCAAGTGTGTACTGTATGGAAATTGAAATTATGTGTACATTTGTTTTATTGTCAATCCCTTTTGTTTGTTGGGTCCTATTGCTCAAGTTTGCTGAGCAGTAATGTACTGTAGATTTTCATCTGCAAATTGATGCTTTTTCTGCCTGGAGTAAACTGACTATGTTGTCACAGTTAAAGTCCTGGTGAAACTGAAGTTGGAGCGTCTCTAGCTTCTGCACTGTGCCACATTCCCTAGTGCAACTGAATATTTTAGCGGTGTACAGTTATAAGGGGGATTTAAATAAAATCCTTTGCATTTGATTGGGTCGATTTTGATATAAAAATACGAAAAAAAAAACATTTTTTTGGTGTGGATATAAAAGGCGCACAATATGACAGAGGATGATCTAAATTCGAATTTTGATTTTATCTTGTCTTCATGTTTTGGTATACAGTATATACTAAGAGACAGGAGACGTATTAAAGGAAAAAACCTGAATAAATGGGTGGAGAAACAACAGAATACAGATGTTTGCAAAAATGATGAGGAATTACTGAATGGTTTGAGTGTGGAAATAATTGGAATCATATTCTATGGCCTTCAGTTACCAGATCCCAACTGAATTAAACATGGGAGGTTTTGGAGCCATGTGTTGTATAGCACTCTCCATCAGCATCATCATACACAAAATGAGTCACTACCATTTGGAAGAATAACAACATAGGAGCAGTGTATTTCACCATAGTTTGCCAGAGTATGGCTTGTCAGTTGCACAATGATGGACAATGGACAGGTGGATGGTGCTGCTGTGGTTTGAGGTCTTGCTATGAGAGTTGGGATTTTTCCCTTAATAATATGGAATCTGTGGCTATGAGAGAAGGTTTTACAGGTGAAGAAATTGAATGATCCACGTTTAATTCATAACAATTTGCCAAATGCCACGACGACAAACACGTGCTGATTTCATGATACGAACCTGGTCAATGTCATGTTTCATTTACTCAAGACTGGTATGAAAAGGTACAGAAGTGTACTGCATTCACCTGGTGTAATGTTTCTGTATTGTAATTATGACCCAGACGAACAACGACTTGATGCACTGCAACAGGCTTTTATTCCGAGCTTCATATACACGCTGTTCATGCGGTCTTGCTGACTGACCGTATATATCCTGTTCCGCCCACCAGGTGGCGTGGTTCTACTGTGAACATCACATTGCCCTTTTTTTAATTTTTAAAGAAATAGATTACATATTACTCAAACTTCAACAACTCTATTTACTGTACTGAACATTGTACTCATCTAGAGGTATGGCAGCTCTGTATTAACTGTATCCCTTAAAACATTAATTTTACACTCTGTCTTATAGAAATGTTTAACAAACACTTAACTTCTCAAACTTGGCTAAATCAGTACCTTTTAAGTTCACAACAGATCAAATTAGTGTCCATGTCCCTGAGCATATTTATTGTATGCAGCCAAGAGATTGTCCACGTTTAACAGTCCATAATCTACCTATAGTCCTGTAGGTAGGCGGGAGGACATCTGTTGTGCCTTGAGGGGTATCTCGGTGTTCTTGAGGTATTAGAGGCATCACTGTAATCACAATCCTCATCATCGGGATCTGGTGAGATGTCCATTACTTCTGGAGTGATCTTGAAGAATGAAGAATTCCTGACAATGAAGTGTCCACTTCTGGCTGCTGTGATCATGGAGCCTTTGACTTTGGTCACCGTGTATGGCTTACTGTTATACGGTGCAGTGAGCTTGTTGTGCTTGGGCTGACGATGAAGCACAGCGTCACCTGGAGTGAGAGTGTGTGTGGTGTAGCATTACGATGAGAGTCTGCATGAGATTTCATCTTGGCTTTAGCCTTGTTGTCCCTTGCTCTCACTTCAGAGTCTGAACAGTTCCTTGCAGTTTGAGTGATTGAAGGAATCTTCGTGTACATCTTGCATTGGAACAACAGTTCAGCAGGTGATCTTTCTGTTGTGCTGTGAGGTGTGGATTGATACTCATGTAGAAAGATGTTCAGTCGTTGTTTCCAGGGAATGCCTTGTGTTTTGGCCACACGAATAGCTTTGCCTAGGGTGCGCATGAATCTTTCAGTTGTAGCATTAGCTTGAGGCCACAGCGGTGTGATGCGGCGGTGGTGGAATCCTAGATGCTCTGCAAACTGGGAGAACTGGTCACTGTTGAATGGGGGACCATTATCAGTTTTCACAACTCTGGGGATCCCAAACATGGAGAAAACTTTGTCCATGACCGGAATGACTGTGTTAGCCGAGGTTGACCTTATGCTCTCTACAACTGGGTAGCGTGTGTAATCATCCGTGATGACAAGCAAGTACTCTCCAGTTGGAAGTGGTCCATAGAAGTCTGCACTAACACTATGCCAAGGAGCTTCTGGCAGAACGGACATTTTTAGTGGCTCAGTATGTGCAACTGGCGTGTTGGCTTGACATGCAAGACAACTGCGTACTACTGCTTCTGCTTTGCGATCAATGTCTGGAAACCAAACCTTGGTTCCGAGTAGGGATTTGGTTTTGACAATGCCCTGATGTCCTTCATGGGCTAGCTGTAACACTCTATCTTGTAGGGCCGTGGGAATTACCATTCTAGTGCCCCGCAGTACAATGTCTGATGCATGTGATGTTGTTAGTTCACTGCTAACTTGTCAACTGCTTTACTATGTCAGCATGTCGTGACTTGTCACTCTGGTGCCATGTGTTGTGTCTGATGTGAGCACTAATCTCTTGAAGGATTGGGTCTGCAAGTGTCTCTCTCTTGATCTCCGTGAGTGTCATGGCTTTAGGTGTTGCATGACTTGCGATGAAGTTCACATACTCCTCTGCTACCTTTGCTGCACGTGTACTGTCAGCTGTCTGAGACAAGATAGGATGACGAGACATATGGTCAGCTGGGTTGTCGGCTCCCTTTCGGTATTCCACCTTGAAGTTGTAGGGCTGAATCCTCAGTCCCCATCTCTCAATCCTGGCGGGTGGTTTTGACCTGGGATTGTTCCATATGATTTCCAGTGCTTTGTGATCTGTCACTAGAGTTAAAGGATGACCATAGATATACAGGTGGAAATGCTCACAGCTCCACACAATGGCCAGCGCCTCCTTTTCTGTTTGGGAGTATCTCCTCTCCACATCGCTGAGATACCGACTAGCATATGCTAGCATGTACTTCACCCCTTTTTCATCTTTTTGGCAGAGGATTGCACCCAGTCCAACAGGGCTAGCATCCACAATCAGTTCTGTCTCTCTACCTGGGTAAAAGTATGACATAGTAGTGTCACTGGTTAGACTGTCTTTCAGTGTCTGTAATGCAACTTGCTGTTCTGGACCCCATACCCAGGGTGTGTCTTTTCTGGTGAGCTTGCGCAGTGGTTCTGAAATGGAGAAGTCTTTGATAAATCTGGAGCAATAGTTGGCCATGCCCAGCAGACTCCTGATTTCACCTGGATTCTGGGGGTCTGCAGCTTGCTGAACTGCAATGACTTTCTTGGGATCAGCTGAGACACCCTCTGCAGAGAAGATGAAACCAAAGAACTCGAGCCTGGACTTGTTGAACTCACATTTGTCACGATTGAGTGTGAGACCGCTTTCCCTGAGTCTCTGGAACAGTGCTCGGAGGTTGTTGTCATGTTCAGTCTGGGAGGCACCGTAGACGATGATGTCATCGCTGAGGTTTTTCACACCAGAGAGACCTTGCAGTGTTTGGCATATGGCATTTTGAAATACCTCAGCAGCAGACGATATGCCAAAACTCAGTCTCTTGTAGCGTCTCAATCCAAGGTGAGTGGTGAAGGGAGTGATGTATCTGCTGTCAAGATGAAGCTCTAGCTGGTGGTATCCAGCTCTCAGATCCAGTTTGGAAAACACAGTTGCTCCATTCAACTCATGTATCACATCGTCTATGGTGGGAGTGATGTGGCGTTCCCTCTCTATAGCCGTGTTAGCTTGGCGCATGTCAACACAAAGTCTTACTTTGTCAGGGTCTTTAGGCTTGGGAGGAGCGAAAATAGGTGAGACCCATGGTGTCCGGCCAGTGACCTCCTCAATGATGTCATCTGCCTCCAGTTTCTGAAGCTCATCCTCAACCTTCTGGCGGATGTGGAACGGCACACATCGATGTGGTTGGCATGTAGGCTTAATGTCAGGATTTATGTGAAGCTTTACCTGAACGTCTTTCAGTTTTCCGATCCCTTGAAACAATTCAGGATGACTCTCCACTAGCTCATCTGTGACTGTGCAACTCTGTGGTGTGGATGATACTGCTGTGACTATTTTGATCAGTCCCAGTGCTTTGGAAGTTTTGTAACTGAGAATATTGAATCCGTCCCCTTTAATTACAAAGTATGTGCACCATGTCCTTTTCTGTCCTTTTTCCACGCTGCACTTGAAAGCACCACTGACAGGCAATGGAACCTTGGAGGAAGGGGTAGATCTTGGTGCTGGTGGGGCTTAGTTGTGGACGTGGAATCAATTTCTCGAAACTTGTTTCACCGACACAGTTTGCTGTGGCTCCTGAATCAATTAAAACTAGCATACTACTGCCATTTAGCTAGATGTGAGTCTGTGGCAGCTCAGAGGTCTTGTCAGCATCAACTGCAAAATCGCTTGCATTTCAGACAGTTCCAGTGTTCTTCCATGATCAAGAAGCTCATCTAGGCTAAGGTCAGGCTCCCTTAGCGCTTTCCTGCGTAGCCTGGATGATGTACAGCTTTGTATGATTTGCGTTTTAATCTCTGCCTCGACACTTGCAAATTCACAGTTCTTAGCTAACATCCTCAGCCTAGTGTGATAACTGTCCACATTTTCTCCTGGTTCCTGTACAGTTTTTCTGAAGATGTACACTTGATACTGTACGTTTTTCTTAGGAGAGAAATATCCAGATAACTTCTGCTTTGTGTCTGCATATTTGTCATCTTCTGCCGCTAATGTGTCGTAAATATCATGCACTAGCGGTGTGCCGACTACCATCCACGTGTCTGTGTTAGCTTAGCTAGCTTGGCCTAGCCGCACTCATCCGCATGTCCGTCGTTCTCCCCTCTTTTTTTTCTTTCTCTCTTTGAGTTCTTCCGTTTACTCTTCGTCGCCAATGTAATGTTTCTGTATTGTAATTATAACTCAGACGAACAACGACTTGATGCACTGCAACAGGCTTTTATTCCGAGCTTCATATATACGCTGTTCATGCGGTCTTGCTGACTGACCGTATATATCCTGTTCCGCACACCAGGTGGCGTGGTTCTACTGTGAACATCACACCTGGGACAAAAACAATTGCCATGTTTTTCAGGAATTATCTAGATATATTACGTAATTAAAAATGTTTTCATGGAGAAAGAAAAAAAAACGTCTGTTTCTTTGGCTTAAGGGGATACCCCAAATCCTAATAGAAGCTATTGATGATTGATTGATTGATTGATTGATGCATGGAAGCAAACATGTTTAGTAAAAAGGTGATGCGGTGAAATCCTTTCAGCGCAGTTGAGTAACAACAGCCTCTGTTACTGTCTAAAAAACAACAATGAATCACATGGATAACTCCTGACGTATCATGATACCAACTTCCATTTCCTGTTTCTTTTAACCATTATCTTAACGTGTATCTCGAGGGGGCTGGCGGTGCTCTCGCGAACCTAGCAACCATTCTGTTGCAGTAACCATAACAACCGGTGAAGTTTGGAGCCACACCGGAGCTAACTACGCCGTTAATTCATCGTTGTGAACGCTATTAAAACAGAAGTACGATGGACGCAGAGCGAGACGACAGTGAGCAGAGTCTGCAGTCAGCGGCCTCGTTTAAGGCTCTCATGATGACGAGCAGCACGCAGAGCAACATGAACCTGTGAGTGATGAATGAATGATGAACAGTTAGCTAGCTAGCTCATGGCTGCTGCGTCGGTTGGTTACAATGCATCACGTGATGTAAACAAGTAGGAATTACAACGAAGGCTGGTTGAGTGTCAGATGTTACTGTATGCAGAAACAAAATCAAATTCATCAAACTGTCAACATTTTCCAACAACCAGCCCTTAATTCACCGAGTTAACATGCTGGACCCTGCTCCTTGTCTGGCAGGTGGGGTTGAGGGACTCTGATGAAACTCTAATCTTCCGTCTGTCGGTGACAAATCAGGAAAAATATATATTTTTAAAGATAACTATTTATATTATTAATAATCATAATCCCTTTATCTGACGGAAATAACATTTGAATCCTTACAATTCTTCACACAGACTTTAAAAAGACATATGAGAGCCTCTACATTACTAACGTTACTCATCACAAGACTTGTTCTGCCTGAAGTTGGTAAAGGTGTTGCTGTCCTCCATGTTTGGCTCCAGGAGGTTGAGGATGTTCTTTTAGAAATGTATGATGCTGTGAGAATGACCATTGTAAACTCCCTTGGGAGCCTATAGGGACGGCATCCGATCATAAGGTGCTCTAGATTTGGTAACAAAGCCAGTATAAATGATCTCTTCATCTGAGCACCACTGGTTGTTGATCATCTCTCTTCTTGCTCTTCACCGATTGTATTGGGTCCTGGCGGTGAATGGAGAGCCCCACTGGAACAACGGCAGAGTCATCAGCAAAGGAAAACTTAACAGGACATTTTCAATTACATACATGTGAAGTTTATTCGGTTAAAAAAAAAAAGCACTCGGTGGTTCTCAAGTTTATATGGAAAACACAGAAAAACTGGTTGTCAATATCACTTTGCAGTCATAAAATAATACAAAACAGAACAAACCCATGCTCTGTACAGTTATACATTTGTAGTGTTTGTAGCGCGACTGTGTCTCAATGGTAGAGCGGGGTCGTCCTTCAATCAGAGGATCTGCGGTTCGATCCCCGGCTTGTCCATGTTGTCTTGTCCTTGGGCAAGACACTTAACACCTGCTGTGTGTGAATGGGTGTAAATGTTAGATAGTCTTGATGGGACGGTGGCACCTTGCATCCATCAGTGTATGAATGGGTGAATGGCATGTAGTGTTGAAGCGCTTTGAGCGGTCGGAAAAATAGAAAAGCTCTATACAAGCATAGACCATTTAGTATATATGCTTATATGTGTGAATAACATTTCTGGGAGGACATTTCCTCAAATGATCACCAGATGGTCAAACGCTCAGGAAGCTGATGTCTTTCTTTTAACGTTCCAGTTATGACCACCTCACCCAGGTGCTGATGAAGGTGATGGATGAGCATCCACACAATGCGGTGGATGTGATTGAGGATATAAGCCACGATGTGAAGCGGACTTTTTTTGAAGAGAAGCAAAGCACCCTGCGAGACCTTCCACAGACTACGGCTGCTGAGCTGCTGGCTGAGAAGCAGCGCCTGCTGTTTGCTGGGCCAGAAGAGGATGACCAGGAGGAGAAACCGGTATCGGCAACATACACCTACACTATGAATTTGTCTTGGTGATTTGAAGGGGAAATGACATACAGGCAATAGGGCTTACCTGTGAAACATTGGATTGTAAATTGAAAGTGTTTTTAGACACGTAATGAAGCCAGGTTACAAATCACTGTTCTTTTAACAGCATTTTATTGACTGTTATATGTGGCAATTGTCCAGAACTGTAATGAAAAAGTACTGACAGCTGTTATAATATGTCTGGTCGGATTCATAATCTTAATTTTTTTCTTTGACATCTGGTCAAAGGTCCGGATTTAGGTGAAAAATTAAATTTTTAGACTGCAAGTAATGTTAATTTCCTAAACCCAACTAAGAAGGTTTGTTGCTTAAACCTAACTAAGTTTCCTGTGAAGACGGATGTTTACTTTGAAAGGACTGTATGCATGTAACGAACGTAAATTGACACGTGTTGCTGGCTTTGGTAGGAAAAACGCATGAAAAATGAGAAGTGACTTTTCATAACATATCATACAAACCGTTATATGAGGATACGTTGTGTGTGCTTATAAGAAAAGTTCATAACACAAAGAGCCCTTCCGTACAGACACACACAAGGCCCCACTCATAGCAACAGACCCCCAAATTGTGGTTGTTTTGTTTCTTTTTGAGCAATATTTTACCTGTTAAGTACTGCCTTTGGATGACAAATGCACCCAATGAAACTAAGTATTTAGTTGTCGCTAATGATTTAAAGAGCATATCTACCTGCCATTTAAATCTTTGTGCCATAGCAAACTCTGACACCTGTCCATCTCTGCAATATACATAATACAATCAGACCTCCAGTCGTTGCTTTGAGTGGTTTTGTTCTGGTGTTCCCAGAAGGCTGATGTTTGTCCAGGGTCTTTGCTGTTTCACTGATTCGCACAACTGTCACATGTAAATGGATGAGTAACCATTATAATGTTGCCTGCCAGGCTTACCTGAAAATATATTTTGTGGGTATTACTCATATAGTAAACAGAGCTGAATTTGTACAATTTAACATGTTCATTGGTCTTCATCAGATGGAATCACCTCTCCCTAATGTGAGTGTGATTGGCTTCTACTGGGAGCAGGCTGGAGTAGGTCTGGGCAGAGAGGAGATGCTGCGGGTTTTCCTCGCACTGAAGCAGCTCGTTGAGTCGCAGAAACTGCTGCGCTGCCGACTGTGGGGCAAAATTCTGGGAACGGAGAGCAGCTATATTGTTGCTGAAGCCGAATACGGAGAGGGAGAGGTAGAGAGGAGCTCTGAAGAATCAGCTGAGGAAGAGGAGAGAGAAGCAGAGATTGAGGAGGATGAGGTGAGGAAGAGAAAAGTACTCAATCTATGAACCTTTATTTATTCTCAAACTGTGGCAGGGGTCTTTATTTACCTCCGCTTCAGAACCAGGCCTTTATTTGAATCCATTTTTCTTATGTTAAAAGTATATTTGATCATATTTTAGTAGGACTCCTCCCCTTTCCTGATTTGCACTGTTTAATCAGCTGTTAATGCAATCTCAACACTTTCTCCATGTTTGCTCCATGTTTACGCGTTTACCTCTTGAAAAACACAAATCCCCAAGTTGTCATTTACTGATTATTTCCGATCACCTGTATTTTTCCGTTTTTTGTATCACTGTTGGCTTTTGTCGGTGAAACCCACGACCTCCTGCAGGGCTATTGAAAGCCTACCATAGGCTAAAAGGAAATAATGCCTGACAGAAAAAGCAATAAAGCCTGCCCCTCTCCTGATTGGCTGTCTACAGGGCTTGACATTAAGCTTATTTAGCTATTTGTCCTCCGGGAAAGGAGCTGAGATGTTTTACTTGCCCGATAGTCAAACTTTAAAATATAGGCCTATTAATAAATCAATCCAATCCATAAAGATTTGGAGAATTTTACAAAAAAATGTTATCCTTTTACTTTGTTAATAGTCATTTATCGTGGTTATTTGCATAAAAACACACAATTCAAATGAGGAAACAATTTTTGGGGGGTATTCGTAGTATTAATAATTACAAGCAGCTTAATGATAGTGTTAGGAAATGAAACGGGTCATAACTCTAATATTTATTTTATGTTGCTGTGAAAACATCTCCTTCAACCAATAAAGTTTATTGCCAAAACCACATTTTACCTGATTACACTTGAACACATAATGAAAACGTAATTTACCTTCCTCCAATACAAACTTTTAATGTTTGGAGCATGAACGCACCATAATGTAACCGAAAGGAGCCTTTATCAGCAGGACTGTGCTAGGGAGAGACAGGTCACTGCAACTAGTGTGAGCAGCATGCATGCTTCTTCCAGAGTGTCCCTTACTCTTTTCAAGGGAAAGAATAGAAATGAATTGTTTGAGTAATTCTTCTGGTCTTGTGGTGGCTTTGCTTTCAGGAGGATCCACTTCCTCGGTCCACCTATGAACCCCTTCCAGCACTGCCGGAGGAGACCCTCGGAACAGGTGCTAACAAGTGTGTTTATTATGTGTGCAAAGAGCCGGGTCTTCCTTGGGTAAAGCTCCCTTCAGTCAGTCCAGCACAGATCACTGTTGCTCGCCAGATCCGTAAATTCTTCACTGGGAGGCTGGACAACCCAGTTGTCAGCTACCCGCCTTTCACCGGGAATGAAGCCAACTACCTGAGAGCACAGATTGCTCGGATCTCTGCTGGCACACAGGTCAGCCCCGAAGGCTTCTACAAGCCTGCAGAGGATGAAGACGATGAGGAAGACGAGGAAGCCTTGAACAGCGTTGAAGTGAATCCTGACTTTGAGGGCATCTCTGTTGCTGAGTTGGCTGAGTCTTTGTCCACCTGGGTGCATCATGTTCAGCACATTCTGCAGCAGGTACAAGTCTGATCCCAACAGGTGCATGGACCATTTTCTCAAGTGATAAGCGCATTTAATGTGTTAGTATGGACTATTTTAGGGCCGCTGTACTTTGGCGGACCTGGCTAAGAAAATGGGAGATGACTCCAATGAGGAAGGAGAGGCTGAAGAGAAGGAAGATGATGATGAACCTGAGCAAGTTGGACCCCCTTTGCTTACCCGCCTCTCCGAAGATGCAGGTCAGTCTTTGACTTTGGACATTTTCATGCCAAACCAGTTTTGTGTTCAAAAGGTAACTTGTGATTTAATTTCCACATGGGATCGGGTGACTTGTTGCCTTCACATCTCCCCAAATGGATCCCACATCTTCACAGTTTCAGTCAGATTTACTCACTAAAATCTCCCAAACAATGTCACTGTCCTTACAGTGCTGCCCAGCTGCCAAAATCCAGATGATATCAGAAGGCAATAAAAATGTTGATATGCTCATCAATTAAACTAGATAATGCATTTCCTGCAGAAAATGCATGTGAATTCTGAGAGCTTAAATACATTGCAAAGCATTGCAGAACATATGAAAGTATTGGATTGTAAAGAATTGGTTACTGAACTGCAATACGTGAAGAAGCTAAGAGCTGAGTACACTGGTAGAAAAGCTGGAAGCTAAACTGGGATACTGTCAAAAGGTGGAAATTGAAATTAATTATCTGAAAAGGCTGAAAGAAGAAATGCTTTGGACTTTAAAAGGCATAAAAGTTTGAATTTTTTTTTTTAAATGAGCATAAATGTCCTGGTTTCTTTAGCTGAAAGTATGAAGAAGGAGTAGTCAATCGAACAAAAAAACAGAAGGAGTATAAATACTTTGTGACCTGTGCTTACATGAAGTCTGTACATTAAAAGTCTGCAGAAGTAGCAGATATTGCTACTATTATACCATTTGGCCTTTATTTTCCACAATCCACCCTTGTAGAGGGTCCCTGCAGAAAAGGGAAAAGGCTTTTAGTTTGAAAAAACAGTAGTTTACCCCCTGGTAAACTACTGTTACAATCTCAGGGCTTTTATTTTGGAAATCCAGTCGCCGATGTGAGCTCCTGTTACCTGGTTGGTGCATCACCTAAAGAATCTAAGACCTGAAAGACATTGCTGGAAAAGCTGGAAGCTAAAATGTAATCCTGTCAAAGATGGAAGTTTAGATGAATTGTCTAAATATCACTGCCATTATAAGAAATACCAGCACCAGCACGGGAGCAAAGTAAAATCCACAGCAGTATTTAGCATTGTTTTGTGTTGGTACTCCTGCCCGTTTCTTCAAACTGGGTGACGTGCTGACCGTTATCAACAGTAGATAATACACTGACAATGGATAAGTAAACTTTGTCCTTAAAGGCAGCTAAATCTTTTTTTTATATTTGTGTCTCTCAGAAAAGTTCAACATTCCTCCCTGGACCTTGAGGGTGTCCTCCACTCTCACCTTCCAGCATGCATTGGCTGTGATACGTTCTAACCTTTGGCCAGGGGCATATGCATACAGTTGTGGAAAGTACGTGAAAATATCAGAATACTCTCTCTTCCTGTGTTTGATTTCTCACAGTATCCTAAAGACAACATTGTAATTTACATCCAACCATGTGCTGTCTCTTGATTTAGGACGTTTGAGAACATATATGTTGGATGGGGTCTGAAGTATGCAGGTGAAGGCTACAGCCCTCCTGTACCCCCGCCACCACAGAACGAATATCCAAGCGGACCAGAAATCACAGAGGCCCTGGACCCATCACTGGAGGAGGAGCTGGCACTGCAAGAAACTCTGGAGGAGGAGCGAGATGCCGAGGAAGAGCTGGAGGACATAGACGATGAGGACGACGAGGAAGATGACGATTGAGAAAACAGTTACATATTTGACATTTTTCAAGTATTTATTTGTATGCCAATGGCCAAATAAATCAGTTTATTATAAATCAGTATATTCAGCAACATGGCTTGCTATTGTACATTCAGGTTAATACGTTCAACATCTGAACAGGTCACTTGTGTAAAGATGAGGCAATGCTTGCGGTGGCAATGTACCAAAAGTTTGTTAAAGGTATCCTGTGGAAGTTTTGACCACTATGGAACAATATTTTACAGATGTTGGTTATTTCCCTCTGACTTTAGGGAGGGGAGACTTTTATTTTTATCCAACTGGTTCTGCCCTATAGCTGCAGTGCGCACCAATGGCCAGCAGGCAGCACATGTGAGCAAAGTAGTAAACAAAAACATGTAGCCTAATGTATGTTATGGTCATAATACACCCTGCAAAAGAATAAAAAAAACACCAAATAATTCAGTTTCTTCTGTCATTTCACATTGTTACAAACGCACTTAATAATGAAGCAGAGAGTCTCTAACGGGTTCAATCGTTTTTTATTTCCTGGTATAAAAGCACCTTTAGTCTGAAAGACTGTGGGATGTTTCGGCCTCTCCCTCATGGATGCTGTTTCTGTTGATTATTGAACCCATGTTGTATAAAATAAGAGCAAACATCAAAGGTCGGGTGTTAAAGGTCACATTTTATCAGCTAAAATGTCAGCTTCCAGGACAAAGATTGAAAGACGGAGATTTTCCTCTCCCCCCTGTTTGACTTTAACAACCGGACAACAGATGGACGCAGCCGCCCTAAAGACTTTGTACTGAGCCTGAGAGAGCGCTGAACGGACTTCGTTGGCCTCGCAGGAGGAGCTGAAGGTTCGGCCGGACCTTCAGCTCCTGAAAACCCCAAAAGGACTTTTTATTACATCGTGAATCCAGCTCCACCGAGCCGCCTCGGCATCGACAATTAATGAGTATAACCTGAGAAGAAATTGTAACCTGATTGAATCAGCTGTGCCCATGCTAAATATATCCTGCAATAAATATCTAATCTGCATTTAAAGTAAAGTTCTCAAGAGCATTCATTTGCTGAGGTAGTAGAAGTTCCTCGTGGCAGTAAAAGGGTAAAGCTATTGTATGTTAACAAGAGTTCTTAATGGTTATCCTAGTGACCGGTCCACTTAACAGTCCCTTACGGTTTTAGTCATAATCCTAGCCGTTAAAATCTAACCTGGCAATTTACCAAGAGCCCGGATCCAAGAGAGGAAAGCTGCCATTATTGACGCGACTAGGTAGAAGCGCCGGCCAGGGTGGCCCCTCGGCCGAGTGCACGTTACCAGTGGAAGCAGGGTAGACGTCAGGAGTAACGGTAGTTAGCAGAAGCCAGGCGAGTTTCCTCGACACAACACCAGCTCGACAATCTTTTAATAGAGAGCTGAGTCAGTAGGTAGCCCCGTATCGGGCCAGAGAACCCCCGGATCTAACAATGCTTTACCATTACTTTTTAATGTAATTTGTTACGGTAAAAATAATTATTTAACACCATCAACCATCACACCATCACATGCAATGCCTTGTTGTGGGGAGAACCAGACAGAAGAGGAACAATTGTACAGCAGAGCTCAGCATGATCAAACTGAACACCCAGCAAGTGAAAGGAGGTGAAAGTAACATTTTAACCTCGGACGTGTCTTTGCTTGGACTTCTTCCCATCCTTTTTCCCTTTATTATTCTTTGTCTTGTCCTCCTCCTCCTCTGATGCGTTAGTCAGACATACAGTAGTATCATAGGAAGATTCCATTAAGCGTTAACAAGATACAAATACAAACATAAGGCTTACAGCACAATGCCCAAAGAAAAACATAGGTGCATGAATACTCTACTAGAGTCCACAGTTAGACTTATATTATAAGACCCAACTGTGTGTTGGGAGACTTACTGAATGCCAACTGTTCTTTCAGATAGTCTCTCTCCTGGGTCAGCTCATCTCTGCCCTCAGCTTACACACCTCCAACTCATGGGATTTGTTTTTGGCTTCCAGCTGTGCAGTAAGAGCTATGGACACACTTAATAGAAGTAGAAGAGTTTATTATTTAATACATCTATTACCCTTATTTGCATGTCTACTATGAGCCTAATAGCTCTTAATTACTCCACTCATATGAACAGATATTGGTCATCCAACATCGTCATTATCGGGTACATCCCAAGTCTCTTAATTGTTAACCCAAAACCTTATTTCAGGCATTTCACCAAAACCTCTTTACTTCAAGATGGGCGAACCAGAGGTGCCACAACGCTCAGTCATTTCCAGGTTTTAAGGCTCATAACTGCAGCACTTTATTGTACTGAAATGTCCATATCAGCAATTGGATATTTGTAAAAATGTGAATGATGATATACATGGTCAATACTTCTGAGTTACTCAGTTGTCACTCATGAAGTGATAGCAATTCATCTTTAATCTTAATTCATCTTTTATTCTGAAGCAACCAGGCATAGTCTTTGTATCTAAAACATTTTATTTTGATAGAAGGAGTTAGTTGTCCAATAGTGTGTCAGATAAGCATGGAGTATAAAAAAGCAGACAGACTGATTCACAGTTCACTACACACATGATTTCTAATTAAGGCTCACTCTTTAGGCAAACACACTAGCATTTGTTCTTCGTGTTAATAGGCAGTTAGTTTGACATTAAAGCAGCAATTTGTTTGATAAAGTGTTTAATCCACAGTTCTGGCACAGCTGTGTAAACTTGGGTAGAGGAGTTTAGAAGAGGCTGTCGACGTCGCCCATTTCCACAACCACCGTCTTCAGCTGGGAGTAGTACTCGATTGTCACCTGGCCGTTCTCTCTGCCAAAACCTGGTGCAGCACAGTAGAGCTCATGTTAACAGACAATGAAATGTTATACTATGAACGTATTTCCTTTGCAGTTACAATGACAAACATAATAATTTGGACCATTTTAACCTTTCAAACAATAAACACCCCTACCTGACATCTTGTATCCTCCAAATGGCACTTCCACAGGGCTGATGTTGTAGTTGTTGATGAAGCAAGTCCCTGCCTCCAGGTTCCCGGCCACGCGATGAGCTCGGGAAATGTCCCTGCAGGCAGAAGAAAGGAACAAATTTCAGTTTTTTAACATAAAAAGAAAAGCCTGTATGGAACTTGACCACACAGTTAAAATGCTGCGTCATCTGTTCTCCCAACCACAGAGGTTACTGTGGCGCAACTAATTCCACTTGGTAATTGCAACACTCTTATCGGCTGCTCTGTTGAGGCCCTGGGCGGCAGCCAATGGAATGTGCAACAACCTCATTATCTTTGAGAGCGTTGTGAATCAGTAGTTGCAACGGACTCCCAAACAACTCCATGCGTGTGAGCTGTCTGAACTCTGCTGACCTGGTGAAGACTCCGGAGGCCAAACCAAACGTGGTGTCGTTGGCTCTTCCGATCACTTCCTCCTCCGTGTCGAAAGGCAGCACTGACATGACCGGGCCAAAGATCTCCTCCTTCACACAGGTCATGTCATCCCTGCAGTTATCTGTGCCGGGGGGGGGACAAACTGGGTGTAGCATACACAAACACAAAAAACTGACTGATCATGTGATGTGGTGTCGAGTCACTTACCAAGCACACAAGGTGCCATGAAGTAGCCCCCTTTCAATTTGGGGTCACTGGGGACAATCGGCTCTCCTCCGCAAAGCACTTTGGCTCCCTGGAAAGACAAGACGTATTAGTCAAAAATAATTATGGGAAGTGAGATAAGTATAATTAAACTTCACATAACTGCTTTGGGGTCTGTATGAAAGCAGTGGCGGTGATATCACATCGGATTCACTCTCAGGGAAACGCCTCTCCACATTTGCTCAATTCTTCCACGGGGATTATTAAAGGTTCCGCTGATCGAATGCTCGGAGAGGATTAGAATCACTACCTCTTTCTTGGCCTGGTTGACAAATCCCAGCACTTTCTCCAGCTGTGGCTTGCTGATCAGCGCGCCCATCCGGGTGCCTTCCAGCAGTGGGTCACCCACGGGGATGGCCTTGGTCCTTTTCACGACTTCTTCAAGGAACTGGGGCATGATCTCTCTTTGCACATACACTCTGGTGCCATTGCAGCAAACCTAATATGTAGAAATAAAAGAATGCATTTGATCAGGTCGAGCTCGACACCGTAACACATACATGGTACAAGTGCCTCACCTGCCCCTGTGTCAGGAAGTTTGCCATGAGTGCTCCCTTCACCGCGTTTTCCAGCTCACAGTCTTTGAAGATCAGGAGGGGAGATTTCCCTCCAAGCTCCAGAGTCACCTGCTTCACCCCCTTTGCAGACATTTCCATGACCTGAGGGCAAGAAGAACACACTGGGCATTAACAACTGACAACCGGGACAATTGAAGCCTCGTGGAGCACTTAAAGAGTTATGAAGCAGCACAAATACTTTACTGCAATATATTTCCCAATACTGCCATTTGTTTATGCTTTGAATGGGGGTTTCTACTTCCCAGGAATCCAGTGTTTGACTTTCATTTCACTATGGTAAAAAAATTAAATAAAAATCTTCCATTTTCTTGAAAAGTCTATGTAAACAATGTCACGTATTTGGGTTTAATCATGCAACCACACTGCCACGGTCTCTGCACCTTTTTGCCCGTTGGCACACTGCCGGTGAAAGATACTTTGGCGACCGTCGGGTGATGGCAGAGCAACGTGCCGGTGTCTGCCCCGCCTTGCACCACACAGAAGAGCCCATCGGGCACCCCCGCCTCTTTGTAAATCTCAGCCAGAATGACGGCAGTGACAGGAGTCATCGGAGAGGGCTTGAACACCATGGCGTTACCTAAACACAACCGCATTTAAACACTTCAAGCCAAAGTTTAATGGATACATTTTAAAATGTGGTAATACACACTGTTAAGACACTCACCACATGCCAGAGCAGGAGCGGACTTCCACGATGCGATCTGGAAGGGGTAATTCCATGCACCGATTCCCACGCACACACCAAGGGGCTCCCTCCTGGTGTAAGCAAAGGATCCGCCAGGAAGCTGGATGTGCTGGCCTTCCATGGACGAAACACAATGCAACTTTAAAAACAACAGTTTAGTTTTGGAACTTTTGTAAAAATCACACTTTTTGTTTTTTATGCGACAAAAACAAAAAAGTGTTTCTGCACCCACCTGCGAGTGTACCAGCCAGGCCAGCGTAGTACTCAATGCACTGCCAGGCGACATCAATATCCACCAGCGCCTCAGTGATGGACTTGCCATTGTTGATCACTTCCAGCTTTGCGATTTTCTCTCTTCTTTCCTATTTGTATTGGAATAACAGGGGAGGGGGGGGGGGAGCTGTAAATGCAAACTTTGACCAAACTATTTCAACATGTACATGGTAATTTGGTGTCATTTCATGTATATAGCTTTAAGAATATACAATGACTCGGAGAAATTGAGGTTAAAATCCAAAACTGCATGACATCAATGAGGCCGCACAGACACACAAAGGTTTGTGTTGTGCAAATGTCGGCCAGCTGTAGAGATAGGGGCGCATGTTTGTGCTTTTAATGAATAACTAGTGTCTTACTAAAAGCTTGCCAAAGTCTGCTCCAAGTTATGTTGCTCAACACTGAAATCAGACGGCCTGGTTTCCAGACTGGATGATGATGACACAGCTTGACCGGCTCACCCTGATAATGCGGGCGGCCTCTAACATCACCCGAGCCCTCTCCATGCCGGACAGTTTGCTCCATTGTAGGTAGGCAGCGTGGGCGCTCTTTATGGCCTCATCCACCTCCTCAGCCCCACAGGGAACCATCTGACAGATGACGCGGCCTGCACAAACAACAACAGCAGGGTTACAGACTGGCTGAGCTCCAAGACAAGAAATAAGGGGAAAGAACTACGCAGAAATCTCTTTTATTCCTACACACATCCAGTGGTGCTACGGATCGTACAGCTTTAATGATGTTTTCTAAGCTTCTTAGAGCTGGTGTAAACAGGTCAGAACATCTCCTTCAAACTGTACCAAAACTACATTTTACGCTTACACATGAACACATCATGAAAACGTTATAACTTCATAAACTATATAAAAAGTATAATATAAGTATAATTTAACTTCGATACTCGATAACCAATACTAATTTTCACTGGACAGAACCTGAACGCATAAAAATGCAACTGAATGGAACCTCCGTATGTTAGCCGTTAGCAGCGCTGCTAACGTTACCAGCTCTCGCGCTGTCAATTTCAACACAGATTTGTTGTTTATAATGTAACATGATCACGGATCGGCGAACAGAATGATGTCCTGATCACATATTTTACTGTATATTGGCGGATTACGATCATAAGTAAAACTTTATTTCACACTGTGATGGTTAAACTGTGTAATTAATCCGCGGTTCACATGCTTGCCGAACCACGAGGGGATCCACAATGGTCCGTTACACCACTAGATACATCGAACTATGAAGCGAGGAATTTCTACTTCACACATACACAGGGACGGGTGTAATGCTGGGAACCCCATGGAGCGCTTTGTGGCATTTGGTGCAATTTTGGACAGGCAGCATGTTCAAACTTCGGCTTCCCGCAGACTTGAGTCCAGCATGTCGTCCGCAGCAGGCAGACAGCACCTCGTTGACTGCAGTTCACTTTAAAAGACAACTCTTCTTCACTTCCTTGGAGTTTTACTACTACAACGTTTTCCTCCAAGTATAAGTACACAGTAAGTAGTATACAATTAAGTTGCATATCTTTTAGGTGCTTTGGAAAGTTATTTCAAACTACAATGACTTAAAAAAGTAACATAATTCAAGCGTTTTAGGGCCCTTTTAGTTGGGGGCCCCAGACCCAGGTGGCCTACCTTGCCGGTAAATGTACTACAGGGACATCATGAAGACTTGAAACTAGCGACTCAGGCCATAAAGTCCTGTTCACAATGTTTACTGAGGTAATAAATCAAGTGAACAGTAGGGTCATTTTCTTACTCCGCCCCACCAAAGAAGAAGAAGAGGAGGTTTCTGTTACACGACGTCATGTCCTCATAGCGACCCTGCCAACCTTTAAACTGGGCTTGAACATATTTCACTAATGTCATTATTAAGAGTCAACATACGAAGCGTCACATAATGGAGCAGACTTCAGTCAATTTACCAGTCGCAGGCTCGAACACGGGCTCTGCGTTCGTCTCCTGTCTGGGCTTCACTCGCTTCCCACCCCAGAAATTCAGCGGATCTGAGATCAGCACGGTGCCCGTCGCGGCTCCGGGCATGGTGTCGAGGATTGACTGGGCCATCGTCACGGAGAGAGGACCTGCAAGGACACTGGGAAATATAGCAGAGTAGCGGTTTAGCGATGAGTCAATCACACTGCACGCTCTCCCCGTTAGCCAGCTGTTTGCACTATTTTAAACTGAGCTGGCACAAAGTTCACAAAGGCCCTTAGCCAAACCAGTGCGAGGAAAAACGGCGCACGAGAGCATGCACACGTAGTTTAACAGATTGATGCAAACTCACCGGTTGTGCTTCAGCAGATGGACTCAATCTTGACGGAGATTTCAGGTTTCATGCACATTGTCACGCCCCGATTTGCTGACAGGACACGCCCCCTCCATGACACCAGACACAGATTAAAACCATGGGTATATAAATAAATCGGGGCGAAATGGTTTGCTTTACTGTATTCTTAAAAGAGCCACGTAAATGTTTTATGTAAACATTTCCACTCATCTATTCATTATGTCGTATATCATATTCAGGGCTAGCGGCAGCACGAAGGCTACATCACCAGCTTTATAACGGTAGTTCACTCTATATGCAACATGCTAATGGTTTTGACAACTGTTTCAAATCAAGGTGCAGAGTTCAGCAACCGGAGAGCTAAGGGAGGAAGCTGGTCCTGGAATAGAGTCCTACAGCGCCTCACAGTGTGTAAAGAGGGCAGTACAAAGAGAATGTGGCTTTCCAAAGAGGGAGAAAAGAAAATAATCTGGAATAAATATATAGATTTATAATACAAAAGAAAAACACTAACAGAGTTATCATAAAACTTTATTAATAAGTAAGAAATAAGGATACAGACAATGACATACAATAATACTGACAAACAGATCAGATGTTACTGTGCCAATTAATCATTGAAATCTCAAAACAATGTATGGCCTGTGCTGAACACAAGGTATCATCTGTATCCTTTGATAATTAACTTAATCACGGACTCATTTTCTTCTTTTAATTTCTAAGCGAGACGATCTTGAAGTTAAATAAACAAAACATGAATGAGAAATCCGACCGAAGTTAGTGACGCAGCGGCAGATATGCCTTTGCTCCATCCAGCACCGCAGAATCCGTTCGGTCTGTGCTCTGGGGACGGAGCCGCGGCTGCACACAGTCGCAGTGCGGGAACGGAGGCCGTTGAACCGGCCTGGTGATCAGGAAAACTTGGCTGCTTGGGGAGGAGGTCCCAGGAAGCCTCCAGCCTGTTTGGTTGCAGCTCTGGAGGGCGCGAGACCGAGCATCTTCTGAATGTTCTGGAGAGAAGACGCAGAACAACAAAAATATGAAAAATATACAATTACATGAACTGTATCATTTTTGAAGATGCCGGAAAACTGATTGGCCTTTCCCAAAGCACAGCATTGCTGTAACATGCTGGGTATATTAATCGGGGGTTTTAGAGGGTTATTTCTTAATACGAATGTCTCAATTATTGAGATTGCCAAAGTCACTTTCCAGTCTGTTTTCCTAATTTATTTGTTTGATGTTCAAAATATCGACACAACCTCTCCCTGGGTCTAGTGTAGAAGTTACCTGTCTGATGGACATGGTGCACAGGATGTAGAGGAAGATGAAGGAGCAGTCTGTGTAATCCTCGCCCAGTAGGTTGCGATGAGACAGTCCCTGGATGTAGGAGAGCGGCACGAACGGCAACTTGGCCACTACTCTTCCGTCGAAGCTGAGCGATACAAAGAAATGGGATGAAGAAGTTTGCGACACACATTACAAAAGATTTTACTTTTGTCAAATGCATAATGCATAATTCCTCAACACAGACTGAAGGTCATCGCCATTTGAACTTTTCTCTTATTCCGGTTGATCGTTTCTATAAATCAAAAGATGAAGATGTAAAATAAACTTGCTTTAACTTCGTGCATCACTTACATGGAGTTGAACATGCCCATCAAAGCTGTGAAGCAGAAGCCGATGGCGAACATGGACTTCATGCGCACCTGCAAAACAAACGCAAGATTAAAAATGGAAATTTGAAGTTAGATCACATCTCACTACAGTTTGACAATACTGACATATTCAAATACATTGATAATGTTAAAGTGTAGGTCAGCCTGTTAATGTTGTCATATCATATTTATTCTTAAATACATCCAAAAGAACCAGAATCCCAGACATGATTTCATATGACAATATAATAATAGATTTATCAGAGCATTGCATATTTATTGTAAACAAATTGTCTCTCACCATAGACAAGTCTCTGTTGTTGTTCTTCAGTTTCTCTTCTTGTCTTTCTGTAATACATTCAGACGCATACATCACTTATCGAGGAACACTTGTCAAAGTGAGGAGAAAGGCAGAGATGTCGTGCTTTTGGCTTTCTCGTTGGCATAAAAGCAACTTATTTCTCAGCCGATTTGTTTACAGGGGGTTCTTACCAATTTTCTTCTTCTGCTGACGTCCTGCGGATTCTGTGATGGTTTCCTTTTTCTTCTCAACTAATATCAAACAAGCAACAGAGAATGCATCAAACAGTGTAAGGAAAGACAATCAAAGCAGAAACGACAGTATGAGGTTCACGTATGAGTCACTTACGTTTTTTGCTCTGTTTTTCCACTTCAGCCTTTAGCCTCTTGTACTTTTCAGTGCGATACACTAAAACCCAGGTAATTCCTGGGGAGAAAAATCAGAAGAACATGTTTGTTTAAAGTAGAACAACTCTTTTATACCGCTGCCACTATGGTGCAACATGGGACATATGCGTTGAGACAATATACATTTGTCAGATTTCTCCACTATTCGATATTATATTTATTGGATCAGCCAACAGCCAGACATTTCTGTCTGATTATTTTTATTAATAAGCATTTTTTTTGGGGGGGGGAAGTTATGGTATTATCACACATACTGATATCACAACATACAGTTACATACACTGTAACTGAGACTTGTTTACATTTTGCATACTCCTAGTGGAAAAGAATGACCAATTCTAAACGGTAAATAACATTGTGTGGCCATCTTGTTTCGTTAGTTTTCAGTCAAAGTAGAATTGAAATGTCAGATGCTAAACTGCACTTAATTCACAATCTATGCTCTTGGACAACTAAAAACAATCAGCAAATATAAATAAAAGGGATATTGTTCGTCTTAAATGTTGCTGTATTATCAATAAAACTTTAATGCAAAACAAAATATACATTGTAATTTCTTCTCTCCTTAATTAGGATGGGTCAAATGCAGGTTTCAGAGGGAATTATTTAAGCAAAATGTATACCTACATTACAAAGTGCGTAAACGCTAGTCTTTTATTATGAAACTTTCACCGGAAGTCTTATTTGCGTCTTACTTGCTAACGTCAGGCATTAGCTTAGTTAGCTAAATACGCTGAGTAGCTAGCACACTACTGGTCCTCACAAGCACCAAAGGTAGCCATTAATCAATATTAATAACGTAAACAACATTGCCCCGCTATTTAATGGAGACGGGTGTAAAAACATGGCGTATCAATGTGTTTCTTGGACGATAGTAAAATGCCTTCATACTCGAGCTGTCTGTCGGACTGTCAGCAGGATTTTACTCACCTTCGGCCAACAGCGCTGTGCAAACGGAGATAAACACGATAAGGATAGTGTCTGCAAACATGGTGCTCATTGTGCTCTGGTCCCGTCTACTGTCCCGTTTATCCGACCGCAGATAGGTCAGTCTATCATTAGAAGCTCCTCCACGAGCAGTGAGCACATTACACTGGTCTTAGACTCACTGCGCTGATGTCAGCAGTAGAGAGGAGGTCATGCATGTGAAAAGTACTTCCGGTTCAACGGCCTGAAACTGTTTGACTGTTTTTTTTCATTTGTTGATTTTACTAAATTGTTTCACAATTTATATTTTATTTCAGATATTTGTTAGTTTATTTGTATCGACTGTCTCACTGAGCTTTCTGTTATTGTTATTGTTGCCTTGCTTTTGCTGCTTTGTCTGGCAAAGCACTTTATAAACTCTGTTTTTAAAGGTGCTAAATAAATAAAGTTATTATTATTATTATTATTATTACACTACATACCATACTTTCTGTAGTACATTCTATACTATCTGTAGTACACGACTATACTATACATTTTATATATTCATAATATACATATATATTATAT